GGAAGATCTACTAGATATTAATTAAATTATAAATATATCAATTCATTGTGAATATGACTGAAAATTTTAATTTTTTCTAAAAAGGTGGCGTCTATTTACTTGTGACCACGCTGTGTACTTGTTTCACTTTAATTATTGTCAAGAAAAACAGAAAAGTTACATTTTAATCATTATGAAAATAAGTTGGGTGTAAATTTTTCTCTGGAACAATGTAAAAGACATAATATAACATCAAATTTTGTTGATTTTAAATTATCTATCTTAAGTTCTTCTATTCTAGACAGTTCTTAAAATTCAGAAAACAATTGTTAAATTTAAAGTAAAACAAAAACTGAAAACAGACAAAGCCATCAAATGACAATTAAAATAATATTTTCAGGAAAGCAATTTAGTATTTTACTTTACAATCATCTGCTTAATTAGGTAAACATATAACATAATAAAATTCTGGTAAAAAGTATGTTAAGAAAAGTGAAGAAAGAGATTTTGATCTTTTTATATATAACATAATAGAGATTTTTTTAATTTTTCCAATTACTGTTTAAGTGAATTAATAAAATGAGTTTTGGTCCATGGTTTAAAATTTGCCATTCCACCAAAAGGGCTCAAATATTAGGATAATTTTTTGATCTTTGAACAGTTGCTGAAGCAACTTTCTAAACAAATAATTTGGCGGAAGATAATGATACCTTTGACAATATAAGAACTGAAGTAAATGGAATTGCTTTAACATATTTTAATGATTAAAAATCTCGTATAAAATCTACTAATAGAAGTAAGGAGGAATTTCAGGCTATTGAAAATATTAAGTGACAATGAAATATATTTATTATAAAATATGCTAAAGAAAATAGTGTGATTATTTTAAATATAGTAGATCATGTCAATAAAGTTAAGGAAATCTTAAAGGACAGTAATAAATTTGTGAAGCTACGTAAAGATCAAACTAAAACTACAAAAGGTAAATTTCAAAAATATTTATTAAAAGTGAAAAAGGATAAAATATTGACTAATAAAATATACTCTTAAATAAAACCATTTGGTTGTCATTCTGGTATTATGTATTGAGTTCCTAAAAGATAGATGACCGGTTAGACTCATGGGTTCTGGCATAGACACATACAATAATGAGCTAGCAAGATTTCTATTTAAGTTATTATATCCATTAATTATAAAATAATACACTACTAAATTCAATTGTAATTTCTCTCAAGAAATACAAAATTGAATGTTAATAATGGAGTGTATTGTGCTAGTTTTGACATAGAGTTCCTTAATAGCAACATTCCGTTAGATAAGACCGTAAATTTATGTACCGACTTTTTATATCAATATTACAAAGATTTCCTAAGCATGTTTCAGGAATTCGTTAATTCTGCCAGCAAAGAATTATATTTTCTTTTCGACACTGACATTTATGACCAGATTGATGGTGCTACTATGGGATCTAGGTTAGCCCCATCATTCGATAATTTGGTTCTATGTCACAATGAAAAATGATTACTTGAAGAATGTCTTTTTTCACTTTTATTATTATAGAAGATATGTAGATAATATTTTACTATTTTAAAGAAAATCTAAACATGTTGAAAGTTTTTGAAACTATCTCAGCAATAGACATGCTAATATTTAATTCACTGTAGATCATCGATAAAAAAAAGAACTTCCATTCTTAGGCCTCTTTATTCATAATAAAGATGATAAAATTGAATGTAAAATTTTCTATAAGAAGACTTTAACTACATTGTAGGTTAATCAACTTGATAGTTATATATCAAAGTTTTAAACAATTTTGATTCAAACAATGGTTCATTGAGTCTGAAATTCACCAGTAAATATGATATTTTTTTTCACAAAGAGGTAGATAGTATTAAGACTTTTTACTAAAATATGTCTTTCCAATAGAAATTCTAAATTAGGTAATTCTAAACTACTAAAACAATAAGATAAGTGTAATTTAGCTAAACATAAACTTGCTTTAGTTTTGCCATATACAGAACAACAGGCTACACTGATTATATATCAGTCACACAAGTTATGTCATGAAACGTACCCTCAAATAGAATTGAGATGTGTTTTTAAGACTTTATCAGATTAAAGTATTTTTTCAGGTATAAGGATCGTATACCTACATTTCAAACTTCCAATATAGTATATGAATATAAATGCACTAAATGTTTTTAGGTTATATTGGTTCACTACTACATTACAAGAACATGTTAATTTAAGATCCATGTTATTTTCAAAAATTAAGAGACATGCGCAGAATGAATTTAGTGAACCTATAAGCAGAGGATAACTTAGAATCTGTCTAAGGTCAACAGTGAATAAGAACTGCGACTAAAGGAAAATTTCAACTGAAGTTGAACGAGGAAAATAATGCGGTTGGTTTAATGCTGAATCTTTAAGTGTTGGCGATATGTAAACTTGATTATCTTAAAATATTTTGAGAATAATTTCATTAGAAACAATTATTTGTCTAAATTAATTAAAAAGCTATTTCTTAAACCACCACTACCAATGGACAACAAACATATTCCAATGAATAAAAAAAAAAAATGCGTTGCTATATACCAAAGACTGGAAAAAGGATTTTTCATACCGTTCATATTGTATCATATTGAGCAATTTTAGGTTTTCTCCTTTTACAGCAAAAAAGTGTAAATAACTTATTAAAAAATTTGTAAGATCAGTTATTTTCTGTATATAATACACAGTGGACCCTAGCAGAATTCGACGGATTTCTTACTATGTATATATATATATATATACAATGGCCCCTCACAAAGTACTAATCAAAACTTTGGACAAACCCTTGATAGTTGATGAATTATATTGGCTAATAAATTAATGTAGTTTGATTATTTGTTATATAGTGATTTTAAGCTTTAAGCTTTAAAGCAATTTTTGTTTGTCCTTTAATTTTAACAATTTTAGCACATTTTTAACAAAGTAAGATATTCGTGTATATATTTCGACAGTTTTTACATATATCTATTAAAATTTAATTGATTGATTTTTTTTAAGAAATGTTACTTTTGTATCACTAAAATTACTCAAAAGTTCAATATAATATTAATATGCGTAACATATTTTTTAATATAATTCTGCAATATATTGTTGATCCCATAGAGGTCGTCTTTACTCTTTGCATAGTTTCACCGTAGAAGCTTTTGATTAAGAGTCGAGAGTTTGTATTTTAAGGGAAAAAAAAACTATATTACAATAACAAGAAATTATGTAATTTTAATTATCTTTAATAATATTCATAAATATAGGAAACATCATCATAAAATTAATTTTTGGACATCACAGTTCAGAAGCAGATTACATTATATTAAAACGAATTTAGATCCTCAACATATCATTACAGTCTATGTTGCTATGTCTGGTCGTGCTTTATCTGATAGTTGCTCATCTTAACAGTAGAAAAACAACGTAGTTTTCATTACAAAAGGCTCTATCATAAGGCTGTTATGTTATATAAAAGTATTAAATAAACCATGATACAAATAGGCTACAAAAACTTTGGAACATCTAACAAGAAACCGCTCTCAAACAGTCTAACACTATTCTGATTCTAGGAAAATTGACCCCACGAAATTGTCCCCTGGAAAATTTCCCCCATGCACAAAAAATAAAGGTTAATGTATTTATTTTTTATTTCAAAATCATTTTGTAGAATAAACACACAGGTATGAGTACATAAAACTCCTTTAAACAAATACACACTAAGTGCATGCATGCATGCACATAATTTAAAACTACAGAAGATCATAAGTTCCTAGAAAATTCAAAAATATAAAAACAACTGTATTATAGGTATTTGTTATAAAATAGTATCGTAATATATAAATAATAGAGACATTCCTTGAATCGTCTGAAAAAACACAATTATTCGTAAGAAATGAGGCCGTTATGTATTTCTTACGAAAATACAACTCTGGTCATTTCCACTCCAAGAACATTGTGAGAACTCGTGAGAACTATATTCAATTAATTAGAAACAGTAAAATCAAAGATAAATGATATATTTATCATTCCTAAAATAATTGAAATAACAAGTACTTACACAGGAGAAAGTGTAAACATATTACTTAGGCTACAATTTGTGTTGCAATAAAAAAATGTGCATGCGGCGTTGTGAAAACGTTTTCCTCTTTTGTAAATTTTGAAAAGCATAAACTATACAAAAAATATATCGAATAAGGCTGTTCAGTATTTTAAAACATGTAAACTGTTATTGGATTTTTTATAAATTGTTTATTTCATTAATATATATATATATATTCACGATTAACGTCTAACACTGCCACAACGCTGTCACAACATCTAACGAATGACGTTGTGGATTCTACCAATACACAACTATTCAGCAACCTTTTAGAAACGTTGTGTGTGTTAGCTGGGTTAGTTTAAGTGATTATAAATGCAATATTTTGAATTTTTTTGCAAGTTTCCTGATTTGTTTGAAGTTAAGCACAAAACTACACAATGGGCTATCTGTGCTCTGACCACTAAGGGTATCGAAACCCGGTTTCTAGCAGTTTATTGATACCAAATATTCTACTAACGCAATTCCTTTTGTAACTACGAACCATCCAAGATTTAAAAACGTCCCACTTTCCGTTTGTTAGGACTGATGGTATTTTATTTCGAGTTTTCTCTAAAATTTCTGTTTTTTGTTTTCTATCCGGAAAAGAAAAGTTTCAAGGTTCTCCTGGTTCGATCATGATAAAATTCACAATACATGTTCGAATACACGTCCTTGCAATTAAAAAATCAACTAGACCCTTTAACATTTTTACACTCACATGAGAGCTAGGCTCCACAGTTATCATAAATATAATCCGTAATGTTTGTGTTATCATATTTAGAAGATTGTTTGCTTATTTACTTTGTAGTTAAGCTCAAAGTTACACAATGAGCTATCTATGATCTGCTACCATGGGTATCGAAACCGTATTTTTAGTCTTATAAGACCTCAAAATTATCGTTGGGCCATCGGGGGCTATGTAAAATAATCAAACTACTTTCTTTAACATGCATTCGTACACATGTGTATGTTTGTAGCTTGAATATTAGTAGAAAACAACAGATATAAGAAAATCGTCAGATCAACATTTAAAATGTTTTTCACACTTCTTTATTTACACCCACTACGTTCTTTTAGTCTGAAAACGAGGCTTTTGCCTATTTCATGCATGTAACAAATTGGGTTATAAACTTATGAAGATGTTTTTCTTAATACATTATATATGTTTTATGAAGATTTTTGTAAAATATGAAAATTATAAATTAATCTCAAAAACGTACCCAAATAGTATTGATGCCACTCCAATGATGAAGATTCCAGCATTAAGCATGAATGACGGTGTCACTATAGCAATCTAAAAACATTTACAATTTTATCTCAAATGTTTTATACACCTTCAAATCATTATTTTCCTTACACATAAACTGTTAAAAAACTAGTAAACGTAAATATCTTAACATTATATGTAAAAACAAAATAAACGGGAGAAGAATATAATTTGATAAAATTGATCATCAAATTCTAACTACGAAGAATAATAATTATAATGTTATTTAATATTCGTATTTATCATCGAGATAAAGAAATTGCGAAAACTCACTAGCTCGCCATTTTTAGAATAAATAGGTTAGGCCTAAATCAACATACTAAACCAAGATGAGAAATTAATTGTTATAAAAGGCATTATATATTAATTTGTCATGCAAGATTCTAGACTTCTTAAAAATTACTTACAATTCTAATAAACATAATTTATTGAAGGAAAATGGACATAAATACTTTTTACAAGACACATAATTATACTAGTTGTCCATTATTTAGACACAACTTATTAATTTGCAAAACATGAATGTTGTCTTTAGCTTTACAATATTTAAAATTGTGCAATAAAACAACTTAAACTGATAAATACTGAACTGGCCGTTTATCTGGTGAAATTGTCTCACCTGTTGATTCACAAAAGTTCATTCTTTACTTGAGTTCGCTCTTTACTTAGGGAAGTGAGACATGATTAATGTTGAACAGTTATCGTGGGTTTATATTATGTTGGACTTTCATCGTCAAATAATTAAATATTGTGAGAGTAATTGTTAATATTAACCGTTAAACTGTTGTTAAAAATATATATTTTACCGAATGTTAATAAATGATTGAATATTACGTTAAAAATGTTTCAGCAAGTAAATATTCAGTATGGTGTTGATTAATTTATAAGATAAATGAAAATAAAACGATCCAGTAAAGTAAAATAAACTCACAATTTTTCCACACAATGGTGCAGCGAGAAACATCGTGAGTTGATAAATTCCGAACACCAAGCCATATTCAGTTGGCGTCGCTCCTTTCTTTTCAGCCTATTTTGGATTAGAGACAAAGTTACTGAAATGAGGAAAGTACTGAAGAATTTCGTTAATTTTTATAATTACATACGACGTATTTCATGTATGCTAATTACATTCTGTATATAGTTTTGAAACCATAAAGAATTAAAATTTCTGAAATCATGACTCAATTTTACGTTTCCAAAGAGAACCGTATCTATTAAAATTAATAGTAAAACAACGTTTAAAATGCACAATAAAAGATTTATTTGGCCGATGTTTTAGCGTTATACTGGTTTGTAGTTAAGTACAAGGCTGCAAAATGGATTATCTATGCTCTGCCCACCACGGGTATCGACACCCGCTTTCTAGCGTTGTAAGTTCGCCATGCCACTGTTATAATCTGAGTCACCAGAAGATGCAGAATCGTATGTTATTATCTTAATAGATCTCCACATCAACCGCATAGTTCAAGCAAAGTACAGTTTTGTAACTCTTAGCCTTAGAGAAACTTCAATTTTCAATATTCTTACCATTCAAAGAAAACCACTGGTGATAAAATTGTAATATTACTATATTCTCTTTAATGAATGCTAATTTGTTTGTTGTTAAGCATAACGCTACCCAATTGGCTATCTGTGCTGTACCCACCATGGGTATCAAAACCCGATTTTTAACATTATAAACCATAAGACTTACCATTGAGCCACTGGAAGGGGAAGCATTCATATTAATTTAGCACGAATTACGCATTGGAATACTAGCCATTTCGAATTTCTGTAATTGCTAAACATTAACAGCGGGAATGACGAGATCGAGTAAATATAACCTGAACAATATAACCTAGATAATAGTTTTGTGAATTTAAATTTCTATACATATTTTTGTACTTATAGCAAAAATACTAAATATATCTGCCTGCATCCCGAATTTTCAGCTACTAATCAGAGGAGGACAGTCAAACAGCAACAATTCACTACCAACGATGCATATAAACTACCTACATCTTAAAGCGCGGGGAATATTATATTCTTTTGTACGGATTCAAATCTGGTTTGCCAGCTCCAAAATCTAGAACTCTACCACAGGAGGCCTAACATGACATGATAGTTAGGGCACTCGACTCGCAATCTGACTGTCGCAAGTTCGAATTCTGTCCCTGAAGATGTACACCCTTTCAGTCATGGGGCATTATAATGTGGCGATCAGTTCCACTATTTATTGGTAAAGGGTGCTGGTTGGTAACCAACTGCTTTCCCTCTAATTCATCACTTCAAAATCAAGGACAGTTAGCGCAAACAGCCCTCGAATAACTTTGCATGAAATTGAAAACAAAATAGAACAAAAAACGATATATCACAGGGTCATCCCAGCCTTATGAATTTTAAAATAAATGAAACTAAATCTTATCTTGTGCCGCGATCATTAATATATTCCAGTTGTGTGAAAGTCATTTTCATATTAAACATTTACGAGGTTTAATTATTATTATTATCATATAATTATAATTTAAAGTATTGTTCTAGTAAGTTGTTTAATTGAATGACTTATCAAATCCAAGCGATGGTTTTAAAATTATATATGTTTTTGTATATATAGTAAAGCTACTAAGGCTAGTTGATGCCATCTCTAATTTAAGCTGCTGAGCGGAAGAAAAGCAAATTGGCACCATACTACACACCATTCACTGTAAGGATTTTACTTAATGCCCTTTAGAATTACAAGCAAAATAAATTGAAACTTGTCACATTTTAAAAACAATTTGTATTAATTTGCGTTCAATCTTATATTAAAGCTTATGTTAGATTTTTTAAACATAATATCGCTCTAGAAATACTAATTCTGATTACTATCTTCTTTTTTATATATAAAAATGGCTGGAATTCTCTCTTGTAACATTACTCTCTTTCATATTTTGATTAAATAACAAGTACATTTCAAACAACATTATTTTTAATTCTGAGCTTTTTATTTCTATCTAAAATGTGTACCTTCAGCGAAGAAAAGAAAGAATACATGAATGACATAGTGGCTTAATCTGTTTTTTGTTTCGCTATCACTGAACGATTAGTTATTCTATGGTAATGTGTAATGTTTAAATACGATGTATATCTGACCACGCAAGCCTTATTTATTACTTGCGAATGTTGTTGCTGTTATTGCTATCGCTAATATGTCGTTACTCAAGCCATTGTTTTAGCTGATGTATTGTTTCTTATCCTTCAGTATTGTCCAACTATTAACTCATTTTGATTAGCAACCGTCATTACTCTAAAATATCTTTAAACAACGTATGATTCAAGGATATTTGAATATACTGAAAGGTTAGCTTAAAAAACCAAAGGCATGACATAAGTTCAGATAGGAACTAGTGATTACCAAGTGCTTTGTTTATTTAGTGGAAGATGTATCGGAAAGCCATATTTTTGTGTAGATAAGTTACTAGACGTACAGTCTTTATTCTAATTCGAAAGTAGTGACGTATTCGTTTCTTGAAACTCTGTAATATTATTGTAAAACCGTTCTGAATTATAAACTGAAGAAAGGTATGTAAATGCATTAGAGGTTATGATATAAAAAATTAAATCAACATGGCTGTGTACTTCATTATTTATGTTCGATTATTGAAGCGCCTTGCAAATGACTAGACTTTACTTAACACTCGACTGTTTATTCGTTTATACAATATAATCATAAACAACGCAATGAGTGGCCTGTGCAATGCCCATAGCGGGTATCAAAACGAGACAAGCCCTCAGATTTGCCTCTGAGCCACCGGGTGGGGTATTACTATTCTTCTGACGATGTTATTTGCCTAAGGTCCTGGCGCGAAAAAGAACCCCTTAGTGATAAAAGTGATAAAGTAACAAAAGACACGATCTTTCATACAGTTGTTCTAATTTGTAATGACTTTCAATAAAATATTTAAAATATGCTGTCCAGTTTAAGTTAATCATGTTTAGTATTTCCAAAATTCCAACACTTACAGAAAGGCTTAATAACTCATAAGGTAAAGAGACACAAAATGTGAGTTGAATACCATGAATATTAAACAATCAACATATTTGGACCGTGAACCACTATCTAAAAGCATGATTATTTGATATATATGATCTTTTCTGCTTGACACACATTACATCTGGATAACATCAGTTCCACGCGTGATCTTATAACAAACTTTAACATATCATATTGTTTATTTTGCCATATTAAAATAAATGACACTGACAATAGCATGTTTTGATTTATTTCTTGACACGAGACTATGTCCTAGCTAATCATGAATTACTGTAAAGAAAATCAAGTAATATGTTATAGAACCTCATGAGAAAAGTACAATCATATGATTTTTTGAACCTAATAACGAATCATGATAAATTGATAATATAAATACTTAGATTGTTTGAATTGGAATTTTCATTCTGAGCGTACGGGGGCTAAACGAACATGTAAGAGCTCGTAGGACTCAAATATTCTGTTCGTAATTTTGAACTAATGACCAGTGAGAGAGGGCAGACAGCAAGCAGAATCTGCTTTGTGTGCTCTTCAACCTTATAAATGGGATTAGCTATTACATTTATAACGCTGTAATTGTGGAATATGTTCAGCAGCACATACTCTCGAACATTGGACCTTCAGATACGCAACCCAGAACGCTAACCACTAATCTATGAACGGCCATGTACATTTAGTACGGTGCTTAAACATATCCTTGACATTTCTTGTTTTATTCAAAGTACATAAAAAGTTCGTAATTCGATCACATTGTTAAGTCCATTGCTATAATAATATTACCTTTTGGATCACAGTATATCGTAACCATGGCTAGAAAGGAAAATATACACGCATAGTATTAATTACACACCAGGAAATTTCTTGATGATTAGAAGATTGCTAGTGTGACATCCATGTAAGGTCAAAAGAGAGTTCAAAGATAAATAGCCCTTTTAGTTTGACTCTTATTACTAGTAGTTATTACCAAAAGTTATCAGCAAAACCATTTCAAAACTCAGTATTTCGTTAACGTTTCTCAGAATGATTTTGGGAGATGGGCTTTCTTGTTTTGCAACCAAGAATTTTATTCATAGGCCTTCCGCTTTCCTGGACTAAATCACCCTAATTGATGTTATGTATCTTGACTTATAGAATGCCTTTGGATGTTTATGGAACTGCATAAAAACAAAAACAGATGAACATAAAAGTACTATTTAAGTGGCATCTTAGCAATTGAAAGAATGTGATCAGGAGAAGTTTGAAACCTTTATTGTCAACTTTTTATATATATATATATATGTATAATATAAGATGGAATAACAGTTTGGCAACAATATTTGTAAACTCGCTGAAGGTGCTAAAACACATTTGTATTTAAAAATACCTTAACAGTTTTAATGATTAGTTCAGAAAATGTAGAACTATCTTCAAATCACATAAGTATAAAATTATGCATCTTAAGCTATCTCAATTTAAAAGTGACATTTCGTCCATGAAAGTCATAGGAATGTAGAAAGAGCGAACATTTTAGGTATGATTGTTAAAAAAAGCACATTTAAAGCTTATTGTTCATGTGGTGAAAAGAGCAAAAAGAAGTTCTAGGTTTTGCTTATAGCAAGTTTCAAGTTAAGTTATTGTAACATTATATATAACTCTCATATGAAGTACTGTTGAGAAATAAGTCCGAAATGGGGCATAAGAATAACGCCTTTCTAACGAAACTACAGTAGAGGTTTTAAACTTTGAATCGGAAATTTTATATGGGTAAGTCTGACTTAGTGGTAAGATGGAATAGTTGGAAATACGAACTTTAATGCTAAAGGTAATAGATTTAAATTTTGGAATCACAGATACAGTATGAATATTTCTTAAACTACAGTAACTTGCTTTTGATCATCTCATTTTATTTTTTGTTGTGCTGCGTGAGAGTGATCTCTTTAGATCAAGTACTCTTTCGTATGTTCTTATAAGCAAGTGCATTAATTTTTAATTATAAAGCTTATCATTACAACCATGTCCGTATCTTAAATTATCAGAGATCATTTAATTTTTTGTTATGTTCTAACAATCAAAGATTTAAAAATTTGGAGTGATTGATCTGTGTCATCCCTTTTTTAAAGGTACATATTCTTTTCAGTATTTGAAATACTTGATATAGAAAAAGCTTATGAAATATCATTTATTTAAAACTTTTTCTATTTATTCTGGTATACAAAACATTTCATAAATAACTTTTTGGTTGAACTTAGGTTTAGCCAAACTTCAGTAAACAGGTGTCTTTTAAATGAAAGTAATTGAAGAACTATTTGTTTTTAAATCACTTTTTAAACGGAACTTACCTCTTGAGGAAAAAATGGAGCTTGGAGCGAAATAGTTGCTCCTATGCAAAAATTTCCAAATGCAAGGGTAAGGAGCGTTGCCCACTGTTGAGGTGTGAACTTTTTATTCTTTTGTTTACTCTCCAAAATGTTGTCGTTCTGTGAGAGTTTATTGCTGCCATAAAGTGTTTCCTTTTGATCTTCCACAGACTTGTACTGTTTCTTCTCAAAAGACTCCTGTTCTAGCAGAGGATTCTTGTCTTCCTTTGACATGTTAGCCGTCTTCCAGTGTTAATGCTTAATGCCAATACACAAATGTATTTTCTATTTGAGTTTCTTCCGGTCTGTTAACAACGTTTCGTTTATATTGTATACTCAATATTTTTTTCCTAGTCTAGATAACTTGTAAACGGAGCAAGGAAATGTTATAAGTATTTCAGCGTTATTCTTCCAGTTACCCTTTTTATAATACAGCTACTTGCATACGTCTACCTAAAGGAATATAGAAATAGTATTTAAAAGACAATGCGAATAAATAAAAATAAATCTATATCAATAGCTTATCTTATTAATACCGTATTACTGCTTGAACCTGGACTTTAATTTTTACAGGTGTTTCAGAGTTCTTACAACGACCATAATATATGAATAAAATGTGCCAATATTACAAGTTACATACTTTTTGATATTAAAAAAAAACTATTAATACAAATAATTAAAACTGTCAGAAATGTACAGAATTTAATAATAAAGCCATTAAATTAAAAAAAAATAACAATAATGCTTTATTTTTGCTTTGTATAAAAAGCTGAGATGTGTTCTGGAAAATCTCCGCAAAGTCACAAACTGTCTTTAGACAACAGGAGTTTTTAGTTTTGACTTTCTTGATAGGAATGCAATTAAACAGGAATTTCGTGTACTAAGTTAGAAAGATAAAAAGGAGGGACCAAATACCGAATATTTGAAAATTATATATATTTACTTCTTGAGTTGAAAACTCTTAGGTTTTTATGTAAGACATATAGATATATTTGTTTTCTTTTGAGTTAAGATGATTTATTCGTTTCTTAAGGATATTCAAGCTTTATTCCTTTGAAAAATACAAACATAAGTAATGATGGAAGCAATGAGAATTTGTTCTGAGTTGGTTTGAATTATAATTAAAATGGAAGTTAAATATGTAGCTATTTGTTTAATTAATTGAAATAAAAGACTCTTTGGCTCTACGATATTTAGCAATCTCACCGGATAAAATTTTTTGTTGGTAAAGATCAGTTACTAAACCTCCAGTCATAAGCACTCCTTGACGGCATTGCACTGTGAATAGTCGGGAGTTTGCCATGAACCCATCATATAAGTACTAATTTTATTGCTCATTATGCCATGCTTTACATTTACGACAACACTCCGCGATATTAGAATATGCAAACCGTTATTATAAATTACGATTAACATTCTGTGAGCAAGGTACATCTACCCTCCATCACGACCCTGCTAGAGCAATGGACCAACAAAAGTGCTTAGTCTTGCCACTACACCCTGTCAACCAATTGAAAAATGGATATCATTATATAAGACCAAATATTAAAGCTAAAATTTAATTATTGAAAATCACAGACAAGTAGAGTTATAAAGCGTGGTTTGGTATACAACACTGGTTAAGCAACAAACTAGTGAAGATATAAAACTTCCTAGAATAATTCTCATGAATAAAATATATGCATAGTTGTATGTATGTTCAGGTTACAGAGCAGTTATATAAATTTACAATATAAAGGAAAATAACATCAAAATGGCATATACTTACCTTTATTTTCGTACAACTAATATGTAACAAGGCCAAAAACAAAAACCTTCGCCCATGAAAGAGATACAACTAAACTAAAGTGCAAAATACAATGTGCGAAGGGCAAAACTTATCTTAGTAAGAGAAGAATATACAAAAATGGGACCCACAAAGTGGTAGAGATACACCATTATCGGATTTAACCTCTATTCTCAAACGTTAAAAACAGATTTGAGGGCTCAAATTTACAATGTTCCACTTATAAGACTATACTTCACTGACCGTACTCAGTTACAAGATGGTTGATGCTTCTAAAAAAGGTACAGTTATAAAATAAAAGTAAAATCAAAACTGGGCTCTCCGACCTGATTCAGCCCCCACGACAGTCGCATGTCTATATAAACAGTATAGCTGAGGAAAAGAAACCTAACAACCTAAGTGCTTTCAGAAAGTGGACTTTCTTCATCAGGGTAAATGGCACATGACCATTGTAAGCGTGTTGATCAGTTATGTGGTGGACGTTCCGGAAGTCAGACGTCACGCGTTTCTAATAATATAATCTAGTTTATTTGTACAGGGCATTTTTGGAATAGGCATAGTCCATCTTCAGCAAAAGACAAAAACAAACAAACAAAAAACGTGGGTACAAGCACGATGTCTAGATCCATCACATTAAGGTTACAAACTGAAATAAACGAGATATACATACGAACGGGGAAACGCAATGGTTATTAAGATATATTTATCTGAGAAGAAATTATTGAGATATTTAGCCGAATGTGGTATTTTTGAATAAAAAAGTTTCTTTGATCAGCAATTCAAGGCTGTAATGGTCAGTGGTCAGAATATTGAAAGGGTTATTAATGTTCTCACAATGTTAGCGTATAGCAGAGGTGCAAATATCAGAAAGTTATTTACCTTATGCCAATGGATTTTGGCTTTAAGATGGTGTTTTGCCAATATAGATAGCCTGATAGCTATCATTCGTATAAGAATATAACATTCCATGAAAATAGAGGTTTAGGTATTGGTCTTTAAAGTTAAAGAACTTACTCAGTCGAAGAGAGAGCTTAAAGATAATTCTCAGATGGACCTGAGGATAAAAATGATTTGACTATATTAGTTATTTATTTTATCAGAATTATACTGTGCTTGCCAAGAAAGGTCAGCAAAGAACTAATGGTACATTTTGGAACAGAAAAGTGGAGGAAGGGTCGTTATTCGTATTCACTGTTAAGAAACGTACGTATGAGTTTGTGCAATAGGTTGTCAGGAAACTATCTGCGCTACCATTCCCTAATTCGTAAGTGATGGATTAGAGGGAAGGCAGCTAGTCAACACCACCCACCGCCAACTCTTGCACTTCCTTTTACTTATGAATAGTGGGATTATAACCCTCCCAAGGCTGAAAGGGCAAGCATGTTCGGTGACAGGATTTAAAAGCGCAACCTGAATATTGCGGTTCGAGTGCCCTAATCACCAGGCCATGCCAGGCCTGTCAGTAAAGTCAATCTTTTTTAGACTAGTTTCGCTATATAAGTAAGCACTGATGGTTAGAACAAATTTCGTTATTCTTTCTAAAATATTATAAACAACATTAAGTTTGTAGTTGTGTGGAGTGAAACTGTTGAAATACATGACTAACCTAGGAAAAAGTTTGTTTCTGATAGATTGAGGTCGAAAAGTAGTTAAGATTAAGTGTTACAAGAATGTGTAAGTATAAAAGGTAAAGACTTGTTCTGTCAAATTCACGAGTAAATTTAATTCAGTAGTTTAAATAGTTTAGAAAGTAAGAAGCTTATTATTTTAAGCAGAATGGGATAAAAGTACTGTTTACATACCATGTGTAGGAGGAGATCGATTTGAACTGGGCGCGTGGTTCGTCGACGAGGTTTGGTCCATGAAACTATATTATGAGCACAGAACTGAAAGTGCAATCATACATTAGCGAAGCTCATTGCAAATATACTTGTTAATATTACCCCATGAAATGGGCATGGCCTGAAAAGGATATGTTAAATTCAAAACAAAATTGCGGACAACAGACAATATTTAAAGCAACATAGTAACGGGGATATTATGTAGAAATCAGTTTCAGTATAAACAGAATAACACCAACTTCTGATAAGGAGGAAGAGGTCTACGTTAAGCATGACCCTCCCTGGTCCAACCACTCAATACTGGTCATAAAGAATTCCACTTAGTACTCATAAACACACACGCATAATCCTAGGAACCAGTTAGCCTAGCACGGTTTGACTAGTAAGTATCTTATTAATGATGTATGGCCCGGCATGGCCAGGTGGTTACGGCGCTCGACTCGCAATCTGAGGATCGCGGGTTCGAATCCCCGTCACAACAAACATGCTCGCCCTTTCAGCCGTGGGGGCGTTATAATGTGACGGTCAATCCCACTATTCGTTGGTAAATAGTAGCCCAAGAGTTGGCGGTGGGTGGTGATGACTAGCTGCCTTCCCTCTAGTCTTACACTGCTAAATTAGGGACGGCTAGTGCAGATAGCCCTCGTGTAGCTTTGCGCGAAATTCAAAACAAACAAACAAACAATTAATGATGTTTAGAGGGAAGAGATACTTAGGGTTTGGCTTATCATGTATGATCTAGCTCTCTAATTTGTTCATTATTTCATTTATATTTATATTTTTCTTATATTATTGAAGCGAGTTATTCAGGATTCTGTCTGACAGAGTCGGCATGTTTGAGTAGTTATGGAGAAATGTTGAGCGTAGGACTCGGTAAGTTTTTGTTGATGTATAATATTATATTTGGTGTCGTTTGTTTATGTGTATTTTTGATACATTGATTCGTGCTGTGCAGACGTATTCTATAACTGGTTTTATGTATATTCTGTATATTTACCCTCGCCCTGTGAGGGTATTGCAAATGGGTCTGTGTGTGTCTATATTTCCGAGTGCATATCTCGAAAACTAATAGACCGATATACAAGAAAATTTTACACAAGATGGGAAGAATGTATGTGACAGTCCTCCCAAAATTTAGTCCAGATCCAATTTTTGATTTTGAATCACTTAAAGCATTTTTATAATGGGGAGATAGAGCATCATCACGGTTTTAGGTTAATAACTCTGTAAAGTATGATCAGATTTCTACCAAATTTCATGGACCCATTAAGGTTGAGACTCCTCATCACACTGCAAAAATGGTTCGGATCATTGATCATTCTGGATCTGAGAAGGATTTTCTGAGTTTACGAAGGTAAAATTTTATGCTATCCGATATAAATGCATGCAATCTCGAAAAGGAGAGGCGGGAGATGGTATGCAATCTCTCTGATTGCTCTTGTTTTAAAATATTTTCAGGTGAAGCTCCTTGATTGTTACCTGTCAGGCTCCTAAGATAACTCGCTTTTTTCTAGATATTGATTTTTTATGCTGTTTGTGTGCGGTTACCATGTTAGTTTCGAATCTAATATAATTCCTAGTAGTTTTGCTTATGTTTGCTTCTTGCAAGAGAGTCCTGTCTAGAAATAACTGTGGTATTATTTTGCTTGTTTTCTCTTATTTTCTGAATAGGATGACTTGTAGTTTGTGCAAATTAATTTTAATTCTTCATTTATTTCAATAAAGTTCTATTTCGTTTAGCATTGGTTGTATATTGTATGTTACTGTTGTTGGGTTTGGATAGCAACGTTATCTGCGAACTGTGAATAGAAGGTGTGGTTCAAGTCTTTAAGATGCACGTCGCATGATAAACAGTTTAGGGCTAAGTACTCCTTCCTTACGGATGACCTCCTCCGAAGTGAAGCACTCGGAGTAGGTGCTCTCAACGTTTACTCTGATTCTCCTATTCTCCAGGAAGTTAGAAACTCAGCGAATAATGTCTTTAGGGAATCCCATTTTGGACAGTTTGTATCTGATTCCATTGTGCCTTACTTTATCGAATGTTTTTTTTTTTCTATATCAAGAAAGCATGCGACTCTGCAGTTTTTTTATTATTATTAAAGCCTTGTATTATTTCTTCTGTTAATCTAATTAGATGGTTCGTTGTTTGTCTTGCTTTTTGGAAACTGTTTTGTATTTCTGATAGCTTTACTATCTATCTGATAAAACGGATTTTTGTAGAAAGGAATATACGTTTGGGTAACAGTTTGTTTGTTTGACGTTAAGCACAAAGCTACACAATGGGCTATCTGTGCTCTGCCCACACTGGTATCAAAACCCGGTTTCTAGCATTGTAAGTTCGCAGACATACCGCCGTGCCATTGGGGGGCTAGTTAGCTAAGATTACAGACACACACACAAATATGTATATATATATAGATTGCTTGTTTGTTTTGAATTTCGCGCAGTAGTTCACTTAATAGTTCTTACTAGAATAATGTTCTTGTATTAATTTTCCGTGTTTCAAACATAACCTATTTTCTTTCTTAACTTACACAATCTATTCTCAGCTAACTTTTATGAAATTAAAAAATTAATTAAGAAAAAAAAATCTTACTAGTAATATTAGTTGTGTGACAATGGCAGTCTGTTTGTTTGTTTTGAATTTCGCGCAAAGCTACACGAGGGCTATCTGCGTATGCCGTCCCTAATTTAGCAGTGTAAGACTAGAGGGAAGGCAGTTAGTCATCACCACCCACCGCCAACTCTTGGGGTACTATTTACTAACGAATAGTGGGATTGACCATCACATTATAACTCACCCACGGCTGAAAGAGCGAGCATTTCTGGTGTAACGGGATTCGAACCCGCGACCCTCAGATTGCGAGTCGAGCGCTCTAACACCTGGCCGTGCTGGGCCCAGATAGATAGATATTAATGGTTTCGTGAACGGAAATGCTGGTAAGAAGAGAATAGGTATCGAAATTAACCAAAAAACGTAATGAAATGATAGAGAACTAATTTCATGTACAAAGTCAATGGAAGTAAATTCATCAGCAGTTAGGAGGCTGAGAATCGAAACAATAAATTTAGCAAATCTGTAGCTACGTTAGCCAATGCAAGAAAGAATGAACCTTCAGTAGCTCACATAGAGTTCTAGGTTTAGGGCCACATGAGTAGTGTACTACATAAGTAGTTCCTGTAATGAATCTTTTGTTCATTACGTTTCTGAAGTAAGAGAGATGCAGTCTGCACAGTGTGGTTTAAAATTGATCGGATCTTTAAAAATGACGACTATTTTGTTAATGTAGATATATTTATTCAAAATAATAATTCCATTACCTTTGGCTGTTTGAGTGATAAGAAATAGCATTAGGATACATTTTTAAGGGAATCATTTTCTTCTTTGACGAGAGAAAAGGTAGCTGTGATGCAGTTAAAGTAATTAAAGAAGACGAGTGCAAAGTTTTAAAATCTAGTTTCAAAGTGAAGTGTAGCTGAATGCTGTTCTATGAAAGTAGGCTTAGCGGTAAATAGATAAAGATTTCAGGACCTATATGTACTTTCAAAATTGTATGGATACTCGGCATACTTAAGTATAAAGAGAGAGAGAGAGCAAGTTATGTTCTTAATCAAGGGCACTCTTACACGTGTCATTCAGGTCAAGGAAACCGTGGTTAAACATTACGAAACTGAAGTCAAAGTTCTCAGAAGTAGCTCGATGTACAGAGATTAACAATTCAGTAATCTGGATGTGTTCGTCTAGAAAGTTTTTATCATTCAGTCTGATAATAAAGCAAGGCAGGTGAATAAAGTCAAGCTAGGAGACAGTTTAAGATTTTATATGTATACAGAGTCACTTTCTTGGTTAGAATACGTTTGTGACGTTGCTTGAGTCTCAGTTTTTTATCAAGTAAACGTCTCTGACAGGACACGTTAGCCACACTTGTTTGAACTGCCAAAGCGTTGGGATAACCTTTCAAAGTTTACATTCTGTAAGGAAGTGGGCGTCCAAGCTCACTTTTTTTACGCTTAGATCTTTCTACTCAAAAAGAAAGGTTTGAAGTAGATTGTATCCTGATTACCGTTTTTTTTAATTAAGTTCATCAAAATATAATTTTATTTTTTATGTTCAATAGCATTTTCACTTATTACATTTAGCAATGCCTTTTTTTTATTTGCCTCCCTCCCCCCCTCCCCAACCTGGTGGTTCGATGGTATGTATAAGGAATTATAAATGTAAAAATCGGTTTTCGATACCCACGGTGGACAGAGTACATTGTGTAGTTTTGTGCTTAAAGTCTTTTGCGTAAGATGAAATATATTAATTTCAAGACGACTTGTACAAATAATAGATAATTAAAGATTATTTTCTACATACCTGTGATGCTTCTCTTCATTATTAACATGATCTAATTTGTGAAATAGCACTTGTGAATGTGTGATATGTAAGTTATGAGAAGCAAAGAGAAGGATTAGTTTCGATGCAAGAACGACTTACACGAATACATGTTTGTGCAAGAAGTAATGTTAAGAACCATTGAGAGACTTTGACACACGAACTGGAAAAGCGAAATAAATGTGAAAAAAAATTATATCCAATGAAAATATATATTAAACAAAAAAGTAATATAAGAAGAATCTTGAAATGGGGAGTCAGAAGGTCTAGAAGTAGAAAATATTAAGAGGTAGAGAATTTATGGGGGAATGAGACGCAATAGTTGAAACAATGAATTTTGGGGTTTGGAAGTGGTATTCAAGTCCACTTTTATTTCTATTTTGCGCTTCTGTTTTTCTGATCCTGTTGAAAAAATCCTACTAAATATTTCCAACTTGTAAGACATATTTTGGGACACCTAGCCCATGTCAAAGGTATAACAATTCTTGGTTTAAAACTTGCGACTAGAAGGAAAGCAACAATTCAGCACGACCCGCCGCTTACATTGACACTCTTAACCGAATAGCAGGCTAAACGCGGAGTGTGTTCAGCGAATAATCATAGTTCGAATTTTGGACTTACCAATCTGCTGTCTACCCCGTTGACCACTAGGCCACAGCTTATTTAATTTTGGACTTACTAATCTCCTGCTTACCCCGTTGACCATTAGGCCACAGCTTATTTAATTTTGGACTTACCAATCTGCTGCTTACCCCGTTGACCATTAGGCCACAGCTTATCTAATTTTGGACTTACCAATCTGCTGCCTACCCCCGTTGACCACTAGGCCACAGCTTGCCCCGAAGAACAAACCACTCTTTGAACTTTCTTATCGTTTTCGTTTTTTTTTTCTAATCATTTTGTACTCATACATGCTTTTTTTTGTTAATTAGAAAACGAGTATATTACGCATTTACTACTAAATCACATATTGGAAAATGTAGTTAGTGTCAGAACTATGTATATTTGTAATCAACATCCGCCATTATTTCCTTTAACCTTGAGGAAGAGAGGTCATTTATCAAAAGTTTTAGTGTTTCATCATTTGTTCTAATGTGATTCAGTGCATAATGAATTATGAATAGGAACATAGCTGTTTTATAGCAGAGAAATATTTGCAATAAGTTGATACAATAGCATCAACAATGTGTACATGTTAACAGAGAACGAAAGCTATTATTGAAGTGATAAAAAAGTATGTGCATTAGATATTTAGCTGTAACTGTTATAACTACAGTAAAAGTGATATTTGTACGGTTCATATTTGATATCAGAACTAAAATAAAATTTAAAACAAACATAATATTTAGTCTTCCTGATCATTATCAAACCAAATATGTCTTTGACAACTTGTAATATCCCTCAAATACTTTGTTATAGCTGGACTAGTTAATCATTTTTTAAACAGTAATTATATTATTAAGTTCTAATTAGACAACTATTATTTAGTATTTCAACATGCATATTAATTTAACCTTTATAGTTTTAAACTTATTTAATAGTCCTTAATATAATTATTATAATCCATTGTGCCAGGCTTTGTCCATGTTATAAAGTTCCGAGAGTGGAAGGGACATTTTTGTAAAGCATAAAGACACATTTATAATACACAAGAGATTTTTGAAGGTTAAAATGTTCATTTTATAAAAATATTTATATCTTAGTTTAATAGACATGTTCATCGAATGTAACAGATAGTATTTGTCCATCTTACATATTAATTTTTACATGAATAAATTTCGCGACATGCGATATAATGTTGTCACTCATTCTTCCTAAGGTTGTATGGCACTTCTTCGTAAACTTTATACTTATTTGCTTGTGATAGAAAGTATCATTAGCTTACTTAAAGTATTGATCAACGCAAAAAACAAGAACAGAAACAAAACAAGTAACTAACACATGAACAATAATGACTATTGTACTTACAATCCTCTCCTCACTTTTCTTCAAGTTTCGAGTTAAAGAATAGTCATTACATCATTTAATCGTACATTTCACACTATTTAAGCATGTTTCATATGCATCAGTTACTATAGTCGCTGACACCTATAGGACAATTCCAATCTCTTCGGCAATATCGTTATCACAAGACCTAACAATTGTTTTCATCGAGCACGAGGGGAAGTGAGAACGATTAGGACTCCTGTAAGGTTAGCCGTGATTGAAGACTGGATAAATTCTAAAGTTAGAATATTACAGCAGAAAAACCTTGTATCTTGTAAACAATCGTATCAAAACATTTTTTGTCAAGAATAATGGCTGATGACGTGATGAATTGGCATACATTTTGTGTTAACTTGTTTAATGTAATTATATGGTGTACTAATCCAATATACGGTAGAAAATTCCCGTATACATGAATTTTGAGACATTTTCGTGATAACCTTCGGCGAATTCGTTTTTGGAAATACTACACATTCAACAAATTCTTGCAATTATATGTATTATTTATTCTTTTACATAAATTACTTTGATTAAAGTCTCGGGGAACTACTTAAACTGAATTTCCAAAAACTAATTACCGGTATTTTCTTACGCCAGACAATACAGCAATTATTTCTAGATGACTAATTCAGTGTTATGAACAACAATATTGTCACACAAATATAGTATATAAATGAATACTAAAAAAATAACACAAATGTTTTAGTGGTATTAAAACCTAATAAAACATATATAGCAGTTTATGAATAAGACAACTCCAGTTTAATGTTTTGTGCATTAAACAGATATTCTACAAAAATTCCCATGTAATCAATGTTGTGAAAGAATACGATTATAATAAATATTAGAAACACGGTAATATAAAAAAATCTTTAATTGTGGACATTTAGGAATTATTTCCAGTTCCGTCATAGTATTCTAACTAAAAAACAACAATAGGTATTGATCGTGAATTTTTTTATACAACCAAAAGTTGATAAAGAAGACCTATTTCAACGGTAACAATACATCGGAATACACGATAAAATGCAGCAATGATATTGTTAAGATAAAACATTATAGAGAAAGACTAAAATATAAGCACCAAATGTTTTTAAAATGTTCGTGTGATAGAGTGTAAGAAATTAAAGGTATAACCATTACTTTTTAATGTTATAAATTTTGGAAATTTCAGAGTGACAGAAGCAGTCAGACCAGATATCATACGCCCTGTTTAGGAGATTTAAAAAAGGTTATGTTTGAAAGAACCTGGTATGACATTATATAAACGAGTGTTAAGGCAGTACATATTTTCTTACGGTAAACAGATGGTACAAGGAATTATTTTTCACTTAGACGTCTATAAAAGCAGCTAAGATATTGTTTTCTTCCATCTCATATGTAAAATATCAGTGATGAAATATGTTTCTTGATATTTGGTGTCAAATATTCTTTTTCACAAAATATATTCATGGTAAGCTTAGTCAAAAATATGAAACCAAACTCATAACTCCATTGTTAGTATTGCGAGAATGTAGCAATGTTTTACAAAGTTTTTAATGTGATGTCTATAAATTGAGAAAGAAATTCCCAAGTTTCGTTCGAAACGTCGGTTTTATTACGTTGAAATAAAAGAAACTATCAACAAAGCAGTAGATGAGATAAAAATATTAAGTCTAGTTATTTAGGAACACCCTCTAATAATTCTGACTGAAAACAGGGCAAATCGATATGCTAGATATTTTGAGTTGTTGTTGATCGATTCATATTAAAGAAAATCCAATTCATTGCGAGTATTTTATTTGATTTTATTTTTTTATCGAAAATCTCATAACAACACATAAGAAAAACTCGAATCAGATATGTCTTTGGAATCACAATCGTTCATCAAACCATTATGATAGTTCTCGAGTTAACTACATTGAATTTAATTTATTTTTTATATTTTCCCGTCAGAATCCGATAATCATTGCGATGCTTGTATGTTTTATTGTAGGTTCAATGTTGAGTCTTTAAATTCGGTTGTCTAAATATTACGTGTAAAAATCATGTTTTCGTTTGTAAATTGCTACGCCACAGCTTAAATTACAGTAACACTAGTTTCGTGGCTAGTGAGGTATGCTACATTGTACTGTTCTGTAATTAAAAAATGTTGTAGCTTTACTCAGGTTTATTCATGGATAATATCTTTTAACCTTTTTTTTCTGCATGTAGTTAACAGGATTTAACATTTTTAATTTCTAATGTTATGTGCAAAAGTGGGAATTCCAGAGAGCTTATATTCGCTCGGCCAAGTTACTATAGCGTCTCTTTCTCTTGGGGTATGGGTTAACTAAACGTTAAGGAGCAGTATCAAAAATTTGAAACAATGGGTATAACCTAGAAGTAAATATGTCCTTGAATGAGAATGATTATTTGACGTGGGTAACCTGGAATTGTGGGATACCGCACTAGGACTATAATCCGAATTGAAAGTGTGGTAAAAACATTTGTTTGAAGTCGCATGTACTACGAAAACGTGTTCTCCCTTATCTGTAGCGGTCAACAGCGTCTGATAACGATAAAGTAAAAACCAAGACTTCATGTAGCAAACCCCAGCACGTCTTTTTTCTTCAATTTTGTGCAAATAATAAATATTGATGTTTTTTTGTTTTACACTCATATTTGAGTCTTTCATTTGCTTTTCGTGCCGTACGTTTTTCCAAATTTGTATTAATTGTAATTCTATCCATCCTGATTTCTCGGTGAAATCACTGACAAGCTGTTTTTATAAAAACTGTTTAATCAGTTCGAACGGGAACGGGAAAAGAATTTTCAAGATGTACCCGATTTTTAGGTTTGAAAACTGAAGTTTCACCTGTCAGAAAGTAGAAATAAAATATTCGACAAATAAAGTACGCAAGCGCAAAAGAGCCTTATGACAAACAAGCCTTTTGCAGTCCTGTACAAAACTGAACATTTTTGTCACTCTACAATATATAAATACATATATGATCAAAACCTTTTCTGATTTAGATGATCTTTTTCTCTTGGAGAAACTATAAAGATTTTGATTTTTGCTGATTTTACATTCTGTTATCAGTCAATTTTCGGTAATGCTTTCTTAAACAAAAACAGTAAAGTTGACTGCATTTTTGTTCAAAAATCCTATCAGAATTGGTGCAGTAGTTACATCTAGTGATGCTTTTACTGTCATCTTAATTTTTCTAATTTCAATTTGTATATTTTGTTGACTCATTTACACCAGTGTGTGTGAGACAAACATGATAAGATTTAGGTTGTCATTTTTATTTTTCTAATTTCAGTTTGTATGACAGTGTATATATTGTCAAGTCATTTACACCATTCAAACATGATAAGATTCAGGTTGTGGTTTATCGATCACTTATAGATTTAAATCTCTGCTACTAGGTACAGTGTCAAAACTTTCTCATGATTCGAAACACATCCCGAACTGAACGCTATCAATTCCAAAAGTTGTTTCAGCCGTCACACATTTGTTCAGCTGTTTTTTCTTTCTTCCTCCTTCCTTCCCGCACTGTTCAGCGTACTGATGAGCTTTTTGACTGGTTGTGGCTTTCGAGCAGTTACTACTTTATACATAATTGATAGAAGAATATTCATGGTTGGATTTCGTTTTTCTTGTTACTTTTTTGACATAGATCAAAATTACTTTTATTAATATAAGTATTAGCTGTTGGAAAAAAAAAACTTTTGATTTCCATACAACCCTTTACCAGCTTTTACCAGAAGCTTTAGTTTTTACCCAGGCTCTCTAAGTTCTAGAGTGAAATAGTTTTAGAATTTGAAGCAAAAATCATACCTTTATGACCAATCACTTCTCCAGCTATTACAAATGACAACATAACAATAATCCCTCCCACACATAATTTCTGTATTTGATATTTAGCTGAAAGGCTTACTTGATAAATAAATACAAAGAATGTAGGAGATCTGACAGCTGTACACTTCACCGATCACGAACAGTGGCAGCTAGTTGGTTCTTGCTAGTTCACGTCGTAGCAAGCGTCGAGTTCAGACATGCGTAGTTCATTTGAACAATAGATAATGAATGAAAATCTGACTCGGCTCAAAACATCTACAAAAGCTTGAAGTCAGTTTCTTGTTCTAAACTTCGGGTATTCTGATGGTAAAATTGTTTGACATTACTTAATTTGACTAAATTTTTCAAATGTTGATTTAGATTACTTCAGTTTAACAAATATTTTCCGTTGTATGATACAAATAACATTTGAAAAAACGCGTTTATTTGCGTTGTTATTCCTTTTCTTTTTGAAATAATGATTTTAGTAAAAACGTCACAGTATGAATTTATGGTTTTTCTTTTCTTTTTCAAATTCTATGATTAAATTATTTGAATTACATTGTATATAAAAATCTTTGAAAGAAATTTCCAGATAACATTTTGCTATCAGAAAAACACAATCGCTTAGTCTATTGTCTATAAAAATATTATTTATTGCTACCTGTAAAAAAATTTATTCTAAGAGAATTACTGAAACACGAAAAAAAATACATTACAGCATAACAATATTATCATTAAATCATAGTAAAATAATATAGTTATAAAAAGTTTACTACATTTAGCAAAACAACGAATCATGTCATTTTGAATGCATTTGTTAGAAGGTTGGAAGATAGAAATACTCAAAAATTTTAATTTCCAACAGTAAAAACCTTTTAATTTTAAGATAATAAAAACAATTTCATACACTGAAATTTTGGTTTTGTATTATGTCATTTCGTTTCCCTAACAGTTTATTGAAATACTTTTTTCGTGTACGTATTTTATTATATAAACTATGACAATGTGAGCAAAGGTCTAGTGACATATCTTTACTACCCGTACAAAGCTACGAAAAAAAAGAACGAACAATTGCAAGATAACACGAAAAACAAAACAAATTATCGAATAAGTGAATAACGTTTAGGACGAAGATCATTTACACTCTCAAAACCAGCTGGTCTTTATTGGACTTTTAACTCATTGTAGTTAACGTCACACAAGGAAGGATACTCCCAGAAGTGAATAAACTCTCCATCAAGATACTGATGGCTGTTTAGATTTTGGTTTGGTCCATTCACTTCTGGGGTATCCTTCCATGTGTGACGTTAACTCCAAACAGCCTTGATGGACGTATATTTGCTTGTCGCCAGACTATAGTTAAG